AACAAGCATAACTTAATTTGCTTTCCAAGATGTGAATGCCTCTTGAAGTGAAAAGACCCACTCTGTTGCATATCTAAAATTAGATTGCATATAATATATTCAAAGCTGACAAAATAAAATTGCTCCATGATGAATGCCATTTTGTTGATATGAAACTTATTTTTAAATCCTTTTTATGTGGAGCTTTTTGTTTAAGTTTAAGCTAGGGTTGAATACTTCAGACCTCAGAGTCCCATTCTGTGATGGATTTATTTATCTTTTTGTCTTAAAATAAAATAAAAGGGAAGAGAATGAGGAAGTGACTAAAACTTGGTACACATTCTAATATCTGCAAATCGCTGGATTCTTGACTCAGGTTCCACAGCCTTAACCCATGAGAATATTTAAACCCAGCAATAGATGTAAGAAATTATGGAGAGAGAGCAGAGCTTCCTGTGTAAACCAGGCTTTTCTGCAATGAGTCTGCTCCATGCCAAACCACATGGAAAATTTTTACAGATACTTGTATTTTATTTTTACCTTGCCTTATTTCAGGTCGGCTCCCATGGCACTAGAGACTTGGAAAAGCTGAGTCTCTTAGGACATGTTAACTGTGATGCAGGTGCCACTGGAACAAGGTCAAACCAAGTCCAGGCTGAAGCAGGTATAGTTACGTGATGCTGCACCACTTAGTGTGTCTTGTTGGCTTGCTCCTGCGCCTTCTGGGAATTTTCAAAAAAAAAGATGTAGTAACTCTGTGGGATGCATCTCTTTGACACTGCTGATTTAAGCAAAATGTTGCAATCTTTGGTATAAGATAACCGTATCTTGTGTTCTGTGTACTGCACTAAAGCATGGTTTACTGGAAGCACTCAACCCACTGAGGTAGGTAGGAGTTGAGAAAATGATGCATCTGGTGGGAGTGCACCCTAAATTCAGGCATGGCTTTATGATGCTTGCTCCAGGCTGACTCTTTGTGGCAAAAGAAAATGAAATACAAATGTGCCGTGTGGGCAATTTCACACCTGCCTGTACCATCTTTTTAGACATCTCTTCCACAATATATTTCCTTCCTTTTGTTTCATATCCCTGAGAGTTAGTTTGCTGTTTCATAAATATCCACATTGTGAGCATTATTCCACTTAGCACTGGTAGAAGACAAATTAAAAAACAGATATAGTATTTTGCAACTTCCTCCTTTATTCTTTGTCTTCAGCAGATACTGGTTTTGCTGATGACATTCTTTTTATCATCTGATAGCCTTTAACCCATACATCACTTACCTGAGTTTAAATCTGCAGTTGATAACTTGTCTTTCCCCATATGGTTCCTTTTATGTATTTTTGGTATGCTGAGGTAGGTATCTGAATGGATTACCCATACCACAGCTTAAGCATGAGATTGATTTAGGGACAGAAAGTTGGCCATGTCAGGCTAGCCTGAAAAATATAGTAAGGATTTTGATGACCTGCTTTACCCAGTGTTTTGTTTCAATTTACTAAAATAATTCCTAAACAGATACTACTCAATTTCAGTTTTCTCTGAATGACACCTTTTCCAAGACAAGTATCAATTTAGACAAATATTAATACATATCCACCCCAATTTATTAAGGAAGTGAATCAGATACCTTTTCACATTTTAGTGTTTCTCTTACTTTAATGGCTTGTTTTCAATATGTATATTAAAAAGGGACTTTAAGTGGAAAAAAGTTGCAAATATATCTTATTTGTTTCTGGGACAGCAGTGGTGGCACACACTGTAACACAGCAGTTACACAACCTAGCACAGCAGATAGACTTATACCTGTAGCTTGCAGAGCAGACATTCATCATTTACCAGTAGCAGAGTGCCTAAATTCTATCATACAGAATACTTTTCCTTATTTACTCTAATAATTCTAATCATATAAACACTTTTCTGTATTTACTCTAAAGATAACCAAATATGGATTGCACTTATTACCCCTAAAAAATCATAAACTAAGCCTCACTGAGCAGAACTGCCCGTTTAATGTGTATGGAATATGTAGTTTGTATAATTACTCCATATATGTAGACATAGTATTGACTTATAAATCAGTTAGTACAGATTTACAAGACTTTGTCTCAGAGGTGTTATACAAACAAAACAGTGAGATAAATGCTTGGCCTGTGTTGGTCACTGATAAATTTTATATTTGTATAAAATCATCTACATAAAATTTATTCAGGTTAAATCTTTATATCATATCACATAATTATCTGTGCACAGATATGCATAAGGCACTGAATTCTGCCTGAAGTAATTGTATTTTCATTACCTGTTAGTTTTCTTGTTTTTATCAGAAAGAAACTTATGCAAATAATTTATTAGTAATTATATTCAGGCATAAAACTAAGCTGACTGTGCACTACCTGAGCACCTAAAACCCACCAGGAAAATGAGAGTATGGTTACGCACCTTATGGGCTGTGTACACAGGGTGTGAGGTTCAAAATACTAATACAAAATAATTATAATAGAAATAAGATACTAACACATAACTGTATTAGAATGCATTGCATGACTATAATCCTTTGGCTTCTTAGAATCGGATCAGTCAGGGAATGTGTCATGCAGGTTCATGTAGATGTCCCAGAAGAGTGAATAAAGTGCACTTGCTTTGCACTTCTTTAAAAAAAAAACAGTTTAAAAGAATGACAGAATTTTTAAAATATTTATTTGGGTTTAGGTGAAAGGCAGGAGGTCACTGTCAACTTGTCTGTGCTTGAACTGCATGTAAAAGTTGGGATTTGAAACTCAAATATTTTGAGAATTAACAGCACACCAGTGGTAGTTCCCTTATTTTTCTGCTCCACAAAGTGTAATATAAGTTCTATTTATATTTGATAATAGGGAGTTGTGACCCTTGGAAAACCTGAGTTCAAGAAGGATGGAAGCTGGTGTTAAAAGTGGAAGGTTTGCTGCAAATACAGGAAGAAAGGCATACACTTTGAAAGCTGATGTTTACATAAAAAAGGCAAAATTTTACGCTGATGTTTATGTGATAATTAATTAAAATCATGCCAGGGGTAATCATAATTCAAATTACTTGTAACTTTCCTTTTTAACCTCTGTATTCCGTTCTTTTTAATACTTGATGACTTTCATCTAGCCAGCAGCCTTTCTGAAGATATTTTTGGTGGAATCCTTGATGAAAATAGATCAGTCTTTTTTATATAATCCCCTTTAGATTTGTATATTTTTTTTGGCCTTTTCCACACCTCTATACAAAGACTGTCTATATGTTATCTTAAGACCAAGTCAGTAGCATTGTAAGACTTCTTTTTTTGAAGCATGTTGTGACATACTAGATGTAATCCAAAGCGTACATAAGTAGAGTTGATTTGAGGAGAGCAATGGCATAGAGTCAGGTCTTTCTTGACATTAGCACATTGTTGTATTGTAAAATGGAATGCAGTGCAGAGATTTTCAGGCATTGGAAACTCTCATTAGTTACAAACCTCAGCTGAGTACCCGTGGAGAAATTGTCAGCTCTGACAAATCTCTCCATGTAATCATAAAATGCATTTTTAAATTTAAAATGATGGGGTCATGCTGTCAGAGATGGTATACTATTTTGTAAACTGGAATGGTACTTGAGTGCCACAGTGGTAAGTTTTTATTAAATGGGTAAAATAAAAACATCCTGGGCATCACAGTATACAGTGGAAATCCATTATTTGTAAGGGTAGTCATTGGTGTGATTGTTCCTCCTATTGCTCAAGGCATGAAAAGATGTCAAGGAAGCTTCTCCCTGTCAAGGCTGTCTCTCCAACGTTTCCCCAGTAAGGCTGGGGGTGGCCAAAACACTTGGGCGGGGATATAGCCAGGACAGCTGTCCCAAACCAACCAAAGGCACATTCCATACCATATGAGGTCTGCTCAGCAATACAAGCTAGGGAAAAGAAGAGGAAGGTGGGGGTCATTTGTTGTACATTTGTCGTCCGGAGCAACCGCTATGTGTACCAGAGCCCTACTTCCCAGGAAGTGGCTGGACATCGCCTGCTGATGGGAAGTACAAAATAAAATCTTTCGTTTTCCGTTGCTTCCACATGCGGCCTTTGCTTTTGCTTTATTAAACTGTCTTTATCTTGACCCACATGCCTGTTGTTATGTTTTCTCTCCCCTGTCCAGCTGAGGAGGGCGAGAGTGATAGAGGGGCTTTGGTGGACACCTGGCATCCAGCCAGGGCCAAACCACCACAGTCTTTTTGGCGTACAACATGACGCTCCCTAACGGCAGTTTTGTATGTGCTGTAGCTATAGTAGTTATTAAGTAGCAAGCTTCTGTGCAGGTCAGTGAGTTTGTTGGCTGCACTGCTTATCTCTTTATTTTGCTGAGCTTGGGAGCATGTTGGTGCAAATAATGGCTATGTGCTTTGCTCTCACATTGATGGCTTTACTGTGCTGGGGAAGCTATTTTGTGGGGAGGATGAAGGAGCTTGGGAACATGCTAGCACAAACAGTAGCTATGTGCTTTGCCCTGACATTGGTGGCCTTGTTGTGCTGCTGTGGAGATGATGAGGGAACCAATCTCCCTCTCCCTGCTTGGAATTGGTGTGGATGATTTTATTACGCAGGCTCCGAAGGTCCTTGTCCACCCTTATGTGAGTTGTTTAATACTACTAATTAATACTGTTGGCATGGTATGGGTTTTGTGGGATCTGGTGTTATCCTGGTGTAAGAGAAGGCAGCTTTTGGGTCAGGTGATACTGAAATGTGCCAAGGTGGCTGGTCCCTAGGTGGAGGGGTGTGTGGGAGGATTTGGGCAGATTCTTAGGACAGTTATCTCCTCGCATAACCTGGGACTTTATACCTGAACAGGCAAGCGATCCTGGCAATCTAATGCACCACCTGATGGAAGGGTGCCTTGCCTACCCCAGTGAAAACCAGCAGCTTCTAGCTCTCTACTGGGGCCTGGCCTGTGCGTATTGAGCCAGTTCAGTACTGTCAGAGGACTGTGGCTGAGGCAAGGACCCAAACTACATCTGAGGACGCCATGGCTGAGTTAGGAACCCAGACAACAACAACTACAATAATTGCCCCAGTAGCGAAGAAGAAACAGTGGATAAGGAGATCAACAGGTCCATATCCTCGATTAGTAAGGGAGGAGGAAGGGTCTGATCAAGAAGCTGGTCCTTCGACAAAAAAAACAGAGGAAGAAGTGAGAGAAATCAAACAGGGAGCAGAAACTACTCGGTCCTTAACCTCATCAGAACTTCAAGACATGCAGAAAGACTACAGCTGCCAGCCAGGTGAGCGGGTTGCTGCCTGGATGCTCTGATTCTGGGATAACTGGGCCGACGGTCAGCAGCTGGAAGGAAGGAAGGCTGAAGCTGGGTTCTCTTGCTAGAGACTGGGGAATTGAGAGAGGAATTGGAAAAGGGACAGCAATTTGCAGTCTCTGGAGACTGCCCCTCTCAAGTGTGAAGGCAAGATATCCATTCAAAGAAGATCTTGCAAACTCACCAGGAAAGCGGACTACCGCAGATGAAGGCATCCAGTACCTGAGAGAACTAGCGGTGCAGGAAGTCATCTACAGCAATCTGGACAAAAACGAGGTCCCCAAAGATCCAGAGGATGTCCTGTGCACACGGGCCATGTGGAGGAAGGTGGTTCAAAGTGCCCCAGCATCATATTCTAGCAAGTTCTCACAGAAGCCACGCCTGTAAACCCCCCCACTACCAAAACCTTGCCATGCAAACCCATTACATTCCACCCCTTGTCTCTGTGAATCGCATATTTAAGAATTATCAATAAAATCCACATTCATCACACGATCTTCACAAACTTCATTCACGTTAACAGAAAGAATTCCCCACACCAAATTAAATTAACATCATTACAACACCGAATAAAAGTGGACAATTTCCACACAATCCACCCCTTGTCTCTTCAACACAATTACCACATAAATTTCCGACAGTCATTCTGCTCTCTAACATTGTTCAGTCCATATTTTGCCCATCACCTCTCCCAATTGTTATCCTTACCTTGAATTCTTTGAGCCCTCTTTGGGCACCAAAAAGACTGTGGTGGTTTGACCCTGGTTGGACACCAGGTGCCCACCAAAGCCGCTCTATCACTCCCCCTCCTCAATGGCACAGAGAAGAAGAAAATAGAACAACAGGCTTACGGGTCGAGGTAAGGACAGGGATATCACTCAGCAATTACTGTCATGGGCAAAACAGACTCAGCTTGGGAAAAAATGTGATTTATTACCAATCAAATCAGACAGGACTAATGAGAAGTAAAACCGAATATTAAACACCTTCCCAATCCTCCGTTCTCTCTCAGGCTTAGCTTTATTCCTGATTTCTCTCTCACCTTCCCCTGAGCGTCGCAGGGAGACAGGGAATGGGGGTTGGTGTCAGTTCATCGCAATGTTGTTTCTGCCGCTTCTTCCTCCTCACGGGGAGGACTCCTCACATGCTTCCCCTGCTCCAATGTGGGGTCCCCCTCACGGGAGAAAGTTCTCCATGACTTCTCCAGTGTGAGTCCTTCCCACGGGCTGCAGTTCTTCATGAACTGCTCCAGTGTGGGTCTCCTTCATGGGGTGCAGTCCTTCAGGAACCAACTGCTCCAGCGTGGGTCCCCCATGGGGTCACTAGCAGCAAACCTGCTCCAGCGTGGGCTTCTCTCTCTCCACGGGCCACAGCTCCTGCCAGGAGCCTGCTCCGGTGCAGGCTTCCCACGGGGGCACCGCCTCCTTCCGGTATCCACCTACTCTGGCGTGGGGCCCTCCACGGGGCGTAGGCAGATATCTGCTCCACCACCCATGGGCTGCAGGGGGACAGCCTACCTCACCATGGTCTTCACCGCAGGTTGCAGTGGAATTCCTGCTCTGGTGCCTGGGGCACTTCCTCCTCCTCCTCCTTCACTGACCTTGGTGTCTGCAGGATGTTTCTCTCACATATTCTCACTCCTCTCTCTGGCTGCAATTACTGCTGTGCAATAACTTTTTTTTCCTCTCTTAAAGACGTTATCACAGAGGTGCTACCTTGGCCAGCAGTGGGTCCGTCTTGGAGGTGACTGGCATTGGCTGTATTAGACATAGGGGAAACTTCTAGGTGTTTCTTATGGAAGCCACCCCTGTAACCGGCCCCCCCATGCCCCAGAACCTTGCCACACAAACCCATTACGTCTGTGATGATACTGATGATATAATTGCAATACTTACAGGTTCACTGTTCCCTGCAGTGAAAACATCACAGCTTGATCTGAGCATTAACTACGTCTAGCAACAGGAGTTGACAATGCAAGTAGGATTCTTAGATGTCTTAGGAGGAGGTTTGAGACTAAAAAATGTGAAAGTGATATGTTAGAAATTATTCATTTGGAACACCATGTCAAATTTTAGGCTGCTTTTCAAAGGGAAAAATGATCAGACTTAATAGGATTAAATAAGATAGATGAGAATATCTAGCGCGTGGTGAGATTTATGGCATATGAAAGTGGAGATTACAAATAAATGAAAAAAAATCAGGATTTGGGAAAAGCATTCAAATTGTAAATGCTTATGAAAATGAATGTCTCATTTTTCTTCTGTTCTATAAAGAAGTGAAATTATTATGGAATAAAATTATTCATCTGTACTCCTGGCCTGTAACGGCCTCTGCGGCAATGGGTCACTGAGAAGTGATTTACAGATGGGTATTTTATTTTCACTATTATCCTGTGCAACTAGTTGCTGAAGTTTAAAACAACTAGGTTTATCCGTTTCTATGATTCAAGTCATAAACTGAAGACTGTGGGGTGCTCTGAAAAGTTGAGGTGCTCTAAAGACAGGATTTTCCTCTTCTATTTGTCTGAAGTGCTTCAAAACCTGTGTCTGAGAGCAGAGTATCAGATAAAATAGTATAATCAAGTGTGGCAAGCACAATGCACTGTAGAAGGGTAGTGTCATAAACAGTAAATCTTTCTGTATATTTTAACAACAGTGAAAGCACAAGTGTAGGTTTTAACCATTATGCCAATGTTGAGCTTAGCATCTCATGTTGACCACTTGCTAGACTTGTCAGGGAATCCACTTCTGGCCTCTTGCATGCTTTTAAAACCGATGATGTCTGTGAGACACTTCTGAGTGCTGCCTCTCCCTTTAGGCTCTGGCTGTGCCCAAGTGCCTCTCACCTGCAGACCCATCTGTCTGCCTCTTGCAGGGTCATGGGGTAACCTATGGGTAGGGAGCTCGGGAGGTGCCGGGTGCAAGGTGCTGCCTTTGCAGCAAGGATCAGCCAAGGGATCATACCAGGCTGCTCAGGGAGGGAGGGAGCCTGCACAGCCCTGAGGCAGCCTGTGCCACCGCTTGGCTGTCTTCCTGGGGAAAGGTTTCCTTATGACCAGTCCCAGCCTCACCTGTCCCTCACCCTCTTGCCATGCCCCACTGAGAAGAGCCTGGCTCCCTGATAGCCCCTTGTAGGCACCGGGGCTGCTGTTGGGTGGCATTGGAGCTGCCTCTTCTCCAGGTTGAACCAGCCCTGGTCCTCCAGACTCTCCTCACAATGTGAGTGCTCCAGCAGTGACCATGTTGGTAGCTCTGGTGATCTTACTGTGGTATATTGATGTTTTCCTTGTGGTGGGAGGCCCCAAACTGGACACAATTATCTAGTTGTGGTCTAATGAGTGGTCAGTAGAGGTGGGAAAATCCCATCTGTTGATTTGCTGACCATCCTTCTGTTCATATATCCCAAGGTGCATCTGGCCTTCACTGTCCACTGATTCAAGCTTCATATCCAAGCCATCGCTGAAGAATAGGCTTTCTTAGAGGTGCGCTGAAGATTTACATGTCAACTGCTGAAAGCACTGGATTTAAGCAATAGATATTCTACGTTATTTACCAGCACAGCATTATCTCTAGATGATAAGAAAAGTTATCATAGTGAAAAATCACATGTCCTAAATATAATGCACTTATTCAAGACCATTATTTCTATGAGAGTCTCTGAGGTCTGTTGGAGTTTTGGGAGGGTGTCACTAGAAAGCCTCCCCACAGCTTGAGTTTTTGAAAGTATCATCAGAAAATAAAGAACTCAGGTTTTTCAGTCTTGCAACTTTCAAGCTGATTACCTGGGCAGCAGCCACAGCATCTGAGGTGACATTTTTGTGTACCTGTTCTGACTCCTGACAATCCAGTGCTTCTCTACCAGGATCTAACCTCTCATCTAGAGTAAACTATCATTGATTGGTACTGAAAGGATAGTAGTTGTTCACTGTTAGTCAAAGGGAGCCTTTTGCTGAGATTTCAGATGTTAGGAGCTGTGTATCACGTTTTCTATCATGAGAGTATTTATAGCTTATGTGTCTTTATATAAAAGAAAATGTGTTTTCCCTGATGCTATGAAAATGTCAAGGAATTCGAGTAGTTACTGGATTTTGCTTCTTAAAGAATTTATTATTTGATCAAACAACTAGACTTAAAAAACCAACCAAACAAACAAAAGAACAAAAAACCCCAAACCTGAAAAATCTGTGGTTGTTATGGATTGGGGGCACTTCTGGGCTGATGTCAAAAATCCCAGTTTTAGTTCTTATCTTAGAAAATGTCAGATAAATAATGTGGAAATCAGTCATTTGTGCAATTTCTCTTCAGTTTTTCCCTTTTGTGATTATTCAAGCTCCTCTGCTTTCTGTGGCTGGGTTTTTTGTTTGTTTGTTTCTAATGTAGAAACTTGTGATTTCTGCTTTGGGTGCTCTGATTTACAGCTGGTTAATCAGAAAGGTGCAGGACCGTTGTCAGAGAGCTTAGTGACAAAAAAAAAGAGTAGAAGGAACATGTGGAGTTGCTGTAGCAGAAATCTGATAAGGAGCCAGCCCTGCTGATGGGCCAAAACTACTTTTTTTTTGTTGTTTTAACACTCTTGTCTAATGCCAAGAGTCACTGAATAAAATATTTCAGAAAACTATGAAACCCGTAAGAGCCAGTTAAGAACTTGCTGTTTCTGTGCCTCAAAAGCTAGCAATAAAAATGCTAAGATAGCCTTTGCTGTCTTTGTTGTTCATTTGAATCTTTAAGACATTGTGCTTGTTGCGGTGTTTCTTCTGAATATTGAGATCTTTCCTCTGAATATTAAGTAGTAATACATTTAAATTGTTGGGGTGTTTGCTCTGTTGGAAGCTGACTACCTTTTCTCTAGTTGTAGGAGGATAATAACGCTCATTACTAATATTAGATTTTTCTACGCTCAAAGTTTTGTACAGTCATTAATTAAACAGATAACAGAACACTTGGTGAAATTGAATTCAAAGAATATATAAAACGTAAGACTTAAAGATAAAAAATTGAAATGTAGTGTTATAGTATTGGCAAATTCTAATGGTTTCATTTTTCTTCTGTTGAACAGAGATTCACTAGTTTTGATTTAGTTTCCAGAGGTACATTTGAAATTTTGAACAATGTAGCGTGTAAACAGTGCTTCTAAATTTAGGCTGCCAGAACCATCCCACTATTCCAGACTACCTTTTATTATTTCTTTTATTGATATTAAGATCAAAGTGGTGCACTATTCTGAATTTTACTGTAATTAAAGACACACAAATGTGTATTTTACTGTAATTTTATATGTAACACAGTCACCTAGCTCATCTTCTATTAGCATTCCCAGATATCGTAGAAAATGCAGCAGTATTTAAATGCAGATTGGTGTGTCTGGTCTGCTTGTCATTTGCAAA